AAAAAAGAAACAGTCAACTACCAGGTGATATAGCACATAGGATGAAGGACAAAGACTACACGATCATTGCAATTAACGCACAGTATCTGACAAAATTCAACACAATTTCATGATTAAAAAATACTCAACAAACTAGGAGTAGAAGGAAACTATCTCAACATAATAAAAAGCCATGTACCAAACACCCATGCCACAGCTAACGTCATGCTCAGTGGTGAAAGACTGAAGGTTTTTCCCTGAGAACAGGCCAGATGCCCGCTCTTGCCTCTTCTATTGAACAGAGTGCTGATAATCTTAGTCAGAGCAATTTGGACAGAAAAAAATAAAAGGCATTCAAATTGGAAAGAAAGAAGTAAAATTATATGCATTCTCAGATGACATGATCTTACATGTAGCCCTAAAAATTTTATACACACACACCTGTTAGAACTAATAAAAGAATTAGTTGCAGGATACAAAATCAACACATTATTCTATATTATTCATTAATCTGTACCCAAATAATGAACAATCAAGAGGAAATAACAAAAAAAAATTCCACTTACAATAGCATCAAAAGGAATAAAATGTTTAGGAGTAAATCTAACCAAGGCAGTGAAGAACGTGTACACCAAAAACTACAAAACATTGTTGAAAGAAATGAAAGAAGACACAAATTAAGGACATCCTGTGTTCATGAGTTGGAAAACTGAATATCATTAAAAATGTCCATACTACCCAAAACAATCTACTGATTCAATGTAATCCCTATCCAAACCCCAATGGCATTTTTGCACAAATGGGAAAAAAAAAAATCCTAAAATTTAAATGGGATCTCAAGGGACCCCGAATAGCCAAAACCATCTTGAAGAACAACACTGGAGGGCTTAAACTTCCTGATTTCAAAACATATTACATACAAAGCTACAGTAATCAAAACAGTGTGGTACTGGCATAAAGACAGACACAGAGGGGCCAGCACTCACCCGTACATATGTGGTCTGAAGATCTTCCACAAGGATGCCAAGACCACTCAGTGGGGGAAGGACCGTCTCCTCAAATGGTAGCGGGAAGACTGGACATCCAAATGCAGAAGAGTGAAGCTAGACCCTTCCCTTGCAGCATACACAAAACCGAAAATGGCTTAAAGATCCAAATTTAGTTTTAGTCTGAAACTAAAAAACAATTCCTAGAAGAAAACGGAAGTTTCAAGACACTGGATTTGGCAACGATTTCTTGGATTTAATGCCAAAAGCATAGGTAACAAAAGTAGCAGTAGGAAAGAGGGCCACGGCGGACTTTAAAACTTCTGCACCTTCAAAGCATGCCCCATCTCCGCTGCTCAGGCAGTCTTACCCACCGGCTCTGCGTCCCTGCCCCAGTGTGAGAGTCCTTGAATCAGTTGCCCGTCCTTCCACCTGCGTCAGCCTCATTTGGGAGGCTCCCCGAAGTCAGTGAGCTAAAGGCATTCCCCAGGAGCCCTAACCCGGAGTCTCTCCAGGCACAGGGACTTCTCAGAAACAAAGTTCTCTCCTGCGACTGAATTCCAGTTTCTCTTTTGTTCCTGGCACAGGCCCAGGCTCACCTGGCTGGGCAGCTGGCCCCACCCACTCGCCCCTCTGCAGTCCAAGTGGAGATTTCTATTTCCCTTTCCCTTCTCACTTGACACACGTCAGCTGGGCTTGCCCCACGAGCCTGGCTAAGAGCAGAGCCCTGGGGCCAGACCAGCCGTTGGGATTTAGCCGTGGCTGCAGCTTGGCTCCTGGCGTTGGTGATCGTGAGGCTGGTCCTGGCCCGAGCAGGCCCTGTCCCCACGTCCAAGCCCACCGTAGCGGGGATGGGCTGCCCCGGGGGCCGGTTCCCTTCTCTGTTGCCACGGGAGCCGGAGGGCTTCAACAGAGCCAAGGATGCCTTGGAAGAGTCACTCTCACTGAAGAACGGGAGCTGCAGCTCTCGCCCCTTCCCTGGGCCCCAGGACCTGAGGCCGCTGCAGGCGTGAAGCGCCCTGTGGCCCTGGAGGGGGGCTAGTCCTGATGCTCAAGGTCCTGGGGGCCATGGCCCACTCGTCCCTGGCGGTCGTCCTTGACCAGCTGCTGCACGTGCCGCGCCACGTCTGCCCCGAGCTTCGGGCTTGCGTCCTGGCTCGGCCCAGGGCAGGACTCCCGCCCCGGGGCGGCCTGCACCACTGGCAGCATCTCCAGGAGACTGTGAGATGGGGTCCCAAGGCTGCCTCAAGGCCTCTGTCCCGTTCAACCCCTTCCGCCTCCTTATAAGGGAACTGAGAGGTACGGTCAGTGGAGACCTGCGTGTCTGAAGACCTGGACCCAGCCCTACGCCATCTGGGACCCTGACCCTCTTTATTCACTAAGCCCTGATCCTGCCTTGTTACTTTCTCTCATCCCTTATTGATGGAGCTGCAGAAGAAATGTTTATTTTTCTACTTTTGTACAATATGTTCAAATAAACAGTAAGGAGTTGAAAAAGAAAAGAAGATGCAACTGCCAATTTTCAGGAGGCTGAGAGAACAGAGGAACTTGATAAACAGCATCAGGGGCTGCCATCAGCAGAATTTAGATTCTGGCAAACTCTAAAGGACAAACAATCCCGTCTCTTCAGCAAATACAGTCCAAGAGGAATTAAAAAAAAAAAAAGAGCGAGAAGTGTCCCTCCAAGGGGACAGCCTTTAGGATGAAGGTGATTTAAAGATCCATCCACTGCAGTGTGAGACCTTATTGGGGCCCCAGGGCAAGCAGGTTTTCAAGTATGCAGTTAGGAGACAACTAGACCTGGGAACACTGACTTGCTATTTGTTGCTTAATTAAGGAATTGTTATAAAAATTTAAATATGGTCAGGGTATTAAAAGTCCTTGTCTTTTAGACATGCGAACTGAAATGTTCATAAATGAAACAGATGTCTGGAATTTGCTTCCAGGAATTTAGGAGTCAGGGAAGTGGATGGACAGGTACAGAAAAAAATCAGGTTGGCCAGAAGTTGTTAACCATTCAACGACTGAAGCCCTGGGTTCAATGTACATGTGGCATCATTATTCTAGTCTGGCTTTCTTTGTAAATCAAGTTTTCTAAAATGAGCAAATGAAAAAAAAAAAAAAAGTGGGTTTAAGCAAGAGAGTAGGTTATTTCTTGCATATAAAATCTGAAGATAGGCGGGGCAGGCCGGTTAAGATGGTGGCTTCCTGAGCATCATTCCAGCCACTCGACATGCCCCCCTTGCCTTGGCCTCTGCCTCAGAGTCTCACAGAGCTGCTCCATCCCAGCCAGCAGTCAGGGTGCGAAGCACAAGCTTCTTTCTTTGAAGGACAAGTCTTAGAAGTCACAGCACTTTTCCATCCTACGGACCAGACCTAACCATATGACCATGCTCAGCTGCAGGAGAGGCTGGGAAAGGCAGCCTTTATCCTGCTGGCCAGATGTCTAAACCTCCAGGCTTTCATCACAAGGGCGGGCGGGTGAGCAGCTATCAGAGTGCAGTTGGCAATGTCGGCCACGGCTCCATCCCTCTGAGCGTGTGGGGTCCCACAGGTCGGTGCTCAGAGCTGGCAGCAAGACTCGTGGTAATCTGTACAGCTGGTGGGCCTGGTGGTGCTTAAATATGCTTGTCATTTACATATGCAAATCAAGCAATCTGCTCAGAATCTCTGCTCCCCTTAGATAGATACAGGAGCATCAGGAGTGAGTGTCTGGCTTCCTTAGCTCTCCCAGGCTGGGTGTTCATCTCCAGGAAGCCAGGATGGCAGGGCCATTTCCTATGCTGTCGCTAAAATCAAACCCAGCACCTGGGCCTTCATCCGGCCCAAGGCCTGGATATTTGTTCAGCCAGTGAGAGAGATGGAGAGAACTGTTCAGTCTCTTCCCGGACAGCTGAGCAGCCTCGTGGGGGCCAAGCCCCCAGAGTGGGCAGCGTGGTGGCACAGACACCCCACCAGGGCATAAAGACAGGACGTCCCCAAACCACAGCTGCTCTGACAGTGCCTTGAAGATCTTTGCCATGTACATTAAGCCAACCTTCATTATTTATTTATTTACTATTTTCATTGAAGTTTAGTTGATTTGCCATGTTATATCAGTTTCTGGAAACTTCATTTTAAAAAAATACCTTAAATTGACTTTTAAAGTAATCTCCTACCGTTGCTATAATGGGGAAGTAGTATGGTCTGTCCTGAATAGAGGGGCACTGAAGACCCAAGATTCCGCTAAGGATTCTTGGCTCTGCTTTCTCTTAGAGGGAAGCTAGCATTACACTGACCAGGATCCTCCTTGAGGAGTTTAAATGAACCAAAAAAATTTTTAATGGGATTGCTTTTTTTTTTAAAACACAACACCCTTCACTGTTAACTCCTGTCTGTCACCACTAACAATCATTTCTCCTGGAATCTACAGTCCCACTCTTAGGGAGCATGGCTGAACTCTGCACACCTTGGTTTCCCCATCTGTAAGATGGGATTTGTCTTCTGGGAGGATTGAGACTATTACATGAGATCTCAAAAGTCTCAGCGTATAAAATGCCTGGCTTGGCGCCCCTGGTGGCTCAGTGGTAAAGAATCCACCTGCCAACGCAGGGGACACGGGTTCGACCCCTGGTCCAGGAAGATCCCACATGCCAGGGGACAACTCAGCTCCTCCGCTGCGAAAGCTGAACCCACCCACCACAGCCGTGGAAGCGAGGGCGCCGAGAGCCTGCGCGCGGCAAGAAGAGGGGCCGGCGTTCTGCCGCTGCAGAGCCGTCCCGGACCGCCCCGCTAGAGAAGGCCGCGCAGCGGGAGGCCCGGGGCAGCCGGAGGAAACACACACATTTTCTCTTCTGTTAAAATCTGTCTCACAGAACAAGCACTCAAATGCTGCCTGTTACCACTTGTGAGTTTCATGGAGGAGAAAATGTGAGTCCTGTCACTAAAGAACAAAACATGGCTTGAACCAAAAACAAAAACAGCAAAAAACAAACCCCAAGCAACCCAAACTTCAGAGCGGCAGAGAGGAGAGACATAAAACCCCCAAACACTTCATTAACAATGGAAGACACTTTATTATTATTTTTTAAAGCATCTCTCAACATTTCAACTCTTGGTAGAAATCAAATGCAAAACATCTGCATTTTTAAATTAGCATCTATTTATCTCAATCACAGCAACCTCATACAATTAAGATACACACTGAGGAGGAGCACGGTCACAGCATTTCCTATTCCAACCCACGAACACAGTGTTTCCGTGACGATAACCCACACTGGACTTTCTCTTCCAGAACAAGTGGGTTATTCCTGCTTCTGTCTGCTGTGTAAGTTACGTGGCATCACGGTTGGTTAAGAGTTAGTGTAGTGCTAGAGCTGTCTGAAAATGGAAAACTGGAAAAGTCAGGACTGGGACAGGCATTGACACGTCTGAAATGTGAAAAGGAAGAAGAACATCAAAGATGGGTGCCCCCGAGGGGGAGGGCCTTAGTAATAAAGTTGGTTGAAACTCAGCTTTATATACACATGGAATATCTACAAGTGATCTACTAGATATATATATAAAAAAAGAGCCATAGAAGATTTTGAAAACCTTAAAATCTCTCAACTGAGTTGGAAGAACATCAGCAAATTCACAGTGGCCTCAGGATTCAGCCAGATGGAAATGTGCTCAGGAGCTGAATACCTCCTCCCATCAGAAAACCCACTGCATGTCAATTCCCATAACATTCTGTACATCACCAACACTTATGGCTAAAATATATTGTTAGTTCACACGGAAGCGGTTCTATTTTCCGATTCTTGCCCCACTCCTGCTCTGAAACCCAAAAGGATAATCCGGGGTCAGTTAATTCACATAAGGAGTTTAAGGGGCCTTCGGGTTTCGAAGTGCTGAGGCTCGGCTAAGAATCTCAGGAGACGCCTATCTGCTGGGCGCACGCCGACTCCTGCCCACTTCTAGTGCAAAAGGGTTGCTGTAGGTTAGAGAAGTCCCGGAAACAGCTGGAGAGGAGAGGACTGAGGTGGAGGGGTGGTGGGGATCCCAAACCCTCTTCCTTCTGAACTGAGACTCGAGGAGACTGCAGCGCAAGGTCCACACTCAGCAAGCGGCGAAGACCAGGCTGGAGGTCCACAGGGTGAGGTTCCCGACTTGTCACTGGGTGCTCAGTCTGCGGGCACAGAGACCTCTCAGCCCGGACGAGCCCCCCGAGGTGCGCACTGGAGGTAGGTGTTGAGATTGGTTGCAGGGAAGACAGCGGCTCTCCACGAGCCCAGGGGACATCATCTCTGTTCCTCCTCCACGCCCGCACGCTCCACTCGACCTTCGGGCTGCGGCGAGGGGAGGCAAGGTGGAAGGGCATGAGCCCCTCCCCTGGAAGACTAAAGAACCTGGGGCATCTTTATAAATAGCTACATTGGTAATGTTTTCACCACTTTGAAACACACGGCAAGTTGAATATTTATTTAAAAATAAATCTCAAAAATATCTATATACAGTAGGGAAAGAAAAGGATGTGCAAACAACAGAAGTGGGTGGAGGGGGTCTGTGCCGCGGTGGAAGGTCCACACTGCAGAGCGGAGGGCCAAGTTCACAGACCCCACGGCTGCGCTGAGCTTTGCAGGCAACAGCATGACATTCAGTGAATCCTGGGCTCGGGTCACCATTGACGTGTAAAGGCGGGGAAGGCAGGTGGGGGATGCCGGCGGGGGTCCCGGTGTCTGGGGACGGCGGCGGAGGGATGAGCCAGTGGAGGAGGCCCGGTGTGGCAGGAGGGCTCATTTCACAAGCCAACAGGCCTCTAGCTCACCGCTCCAGGTGGGCATCTGGAAGCGACCAAGGGGGCCCTTCCCAATCCAAGTTGGCTTCGCCGTGGGACTGGTCGGCAAGAGTCCCAGAGATAGAAACTATCTTGAAGAAACAAACCCCCCCAAAAAACGGAACAGGGAGTGGAGAGATTAGCAAAAAGGAATCCCAACGGAAGCGCCACCCTCCCTCCTGACAGACGACAAAGCAGCCATCAGCTGAAATAATCTGAGTCGGTAAGGGAACTCCCACATGGGGTGGCCGGCCCCAGGAGCCCCCACCACCCACGTGGTCAAGGGCTGGGCCCTGCTTCTGAGATCTGCGCCTTAGCGCTGCTTCCCCGGGACACCAGGAAGGTCGGAGGTGTAGCCCTTGGAGCAGGGGGTGCGGGGTGGCGTCTATCTGTACACGAGATGGGGGAGCTGGGTGGACTTGTAGTTCAGCTGGCTGTTGGGCATGAACTTGTGCAGCTCGCTCTTTTTGCAGCAGGGGTCGTAATGGTAGGCGCTGAGGCAGGCGTCGCAGGAGACTTTGGAACACTGGGTGCAGGTGTTGGCAGCCCCCGGGCGGTTGCAGAAGCCACAGCGGGAGGTGGCGGCGGCGGGCGGCTTGGACTTGGAGTGGAGGTGCGGCGGCCGCTCGAGGCCCTGAGTCTGGCCCGCGTACTTCTCCCGCAGGGCGGCCCCGTGGGCCAGGCTGTCATGGCCGGAGGCCTTGCCGGGGAAGGCGCTGGGCTTGGCGGCCGGGGAACAGGCCAGCAGGCTGTCGCAGCGCTGGCAGAGGGCGGCGCTGCAGGACAGGCCGCAGTTCTGGCACTTGGAGAGGGCGGACTCTTTGGCGGGGGGCGAGCGCTTGTGGTAGCCGGCGTGGGCGTCGCTTCTCAGCAGCCAGACGTCGGGCCGCAGGGCGTCCTGCCTCCGGTAGGCGGCCCGGGGCTCCGCGTCGGTGTACAGATCCACGTCGTCTGGGCCGGGCAGGTAGGGGCTGCGCAGCAGGCCGAGCCCATTGCTGGGCGCGGGGGCCGGCAGGTCGTCGGCGCCGCCGTGCGGGGAGCTGGCCACGGTCAGGAGCGAGGGCGGCGGGCGGACGATCTCGTCCTTGAGCTCATCTCCAGGCTCGGCAGCCGCCGGCTCCTTCCGCAGGCTCAGCGAGGTCTTCAGGGGAGGCTTCCGGCTCTCCCAGTAGCTGTCGTAGGTGTCTACCGACCGCGAGGGCTTGGTCACGCGGGGCTTGTAGTAGTCCTTGGCCGCCCGCTCGCTGGCCGACTTCTGCAGCACCATGCGCGCCATGGAGGCCGACAGCGGCCCGCGGGCCTCGGCGCGCCGCCGCAGGGCCTCCGCGCAGCCCCGCGCGTCCTCCGCGCTGCCCCGGCGCTCGCTCACCACGTCCAGCTCCGTGTAGCCCTTGTCCTTCACCTGCGAGTGGATCTCCAGCATCTGCTCGCACTCCACCTTGGCCAGAAAGAGTTCGAAGGAGACCATCTTCACTTGCAGCGTCTCGACCAGCTCTTTGAGCCTGTAGGCGGTCCCCAGCTCGGGCACATAGCCCATGTAGCTCAGGATGGCTCGGATGTCCTCCTCCAGTAACGTCGACTTGACGTAGTAGACGAAGGGGCCCGTGTAGGTCTAGGGGAGGGGAGGGCAGAGGAGCAGAGGTGGGTTCTTCTCTCCCAGACACACCGCGGAGACTGTACCTGGGCGAGGCCCACACAGTCTGCACACGAGCACGTGGGGAGCAGGGGTCAGGGCCATCTCCGGGCGGCAGGTGGAGGCTACTGCTCCCCAACAGCTCAGCGCAGGGGTCTGAGGGAAGTGACCCCAGGGGGCAGGGAGCAAAGCCACTGGCCTTCCACATGGGGTGCAGGGGCCCTTGCGCCTTGGGGAGGTGCAGGGCAAACACCGATGGAGAAAGGGAATCGGGTCAGAGGCAGAAACACCCAGGAGCAAGGACAGAACACCTTTCTGGTATTTCGGTGAGACGTAGCCTGACCCGGGGGAACTCTCCTGAGCCATCACCGCCTTTGGAATGATTCAGAACTCTCTGTCTCCAGTTCCTCTTCCCCCCGCATCCCTGTTTCCCTCGATTACGGCAGCCTCCTAAAGGTCTCCCCGCGGTCCACCTCCCATACAACTGCCAGGAGTAGTCTTCTCCTGTAGAAACCGGATCCCAGTCCCCTTAGGATAAATTCCAGCCCCTGCCCCGGGCTCCAACACCCTGAGTAACTGGGTGCTGCCCACCTTTCCAACCGCATGGTTTCAGATGTGAGCTGCCAGGGGTGGGGAACCAGTGAAGAGAAGGCACTAGGCGGGGAGGTCAGGTGGGCAATTCTGGTCCTCATCTCAGGGGCAGTGGGGAAACCGGGAGGGCCCAAGCAGAGGAAGGAGGAGATTACACGGGGCACAAACCCTCTTCCCAAGATGGACAGGAAGGCGCAAGAGGGGACAGCAGTGTGCAGGGCCCGTCCCCAGACCTCACCTTGATGCTTCTGAACTCCTTCTTCCAGGGGCAGAGGAAGAGGTTGACGCCCACCGTCTCGAGCACGCCGAAGGCGCAGCGCAGGGCCCGCAGGCTGGAGGAGCGGAGCGAGCGCAGGGAGCTCTCCACCACCTCATAGAACTGGATCAGCCGGAATCGATAAAAGGGGTCCACCTTGTGCAGGCTGAGCAGGGTGGAGGCTGCCGCCCGCAGGGACTCATCACTGCCAGGGGTGGCGTCCCCTTGGCCCTCGTGGAACTGCACGTACTTCCGGAACAAGTCATCCTTGTATTTTGCATCCATTGAACTGGGCTTCCCCATCCAATCCGATCCAGGGACGGGGGCTACCTTATCTCCTTCATGGCTTCTGGGTTAGAGGCAGGAACATTGCCAGACGTGTCAACATGCTGTCTGCCTGGACCCGCAGAACGCTCTGGAAGGGGAAGACGAGAAGCACGTCATTCCTTGAAATGGTCCGTGTTCCCTCGGTGGCCGCCGAGGCCAGGCCAGAAGCAGAGCTGGCCTGAGCTACACCAGGGCTCCAACACGCTCAGTGGACAGGCGCACCACACTGCAGTGGGAATAGGACAGACAAGGTCCTTGACTCTTCTGGAAAATATGATCAGGGGCATCGAACCTGGTTTCATAGGGGTGGGGGAGGGTTAAAAAGCCCCTGAGAAAGTGAGGGTTAGACCCAGAGAGTGAAGCGTTGGCCGGGAGGGAGGTCCCGGACTAACACCGTGAGCGCTTACTACATGCCAGGTGCCCACACATCCTAACTCATCCTGTCTTCAGCAGCCCTAGGAGGTAGGTGGTATTGTCACCCCCATTTTACAAACGGGAAAACTGAGACACCAAGGAACACGCCCAGAGCTACAGGACTATTAGGCAGCAGGGCTGAGGTGAGCACCTAGGCCGGCAGCTTCAAAGCCCATGCCCTTCACCGTCACAGCCCACTTTCCTGAGGCCAGGAGGAAGCTGGCACGCAAACAGCAAGAAGGCTAGTGAGGCTGATGCAGAGAGAGGAGGAGGGTCACAGGACAGGGGCTGCCCACACCAGCAGGATCCCAGTCCCCAGGTTGCAGTGAGTCAGACATGTCTTTCAAAGAGCCCCGTGAAGCCCTGAGGGGTTCAAAGCAAGGGGGACAGAACACGATCACATCTGTAATCATAAAAAAAAAGGCTTCTTTGGCTGCTGACTCTTGGAGAGTCCCTTGATCTGCCTTTGTTTTTCTGTGGGGTGGGGGCTTTGGCGGTGCCCTGTGGCTCCTGGGATATTAGTTCCCCGACAAGGGACTGAACCTGCGCCCCCTGAATTGGAAGTCCTAACCACTGGACCTCGAGGGAATCCCACCCCCCTGTTTTTTACGGTTCCCTCTTGGGAGAGGACAGAACCTTCTAGGCTAGATGCACAGGATTCACACACTCTTGCCGTCTCCCTGGCCACTTGTTAGTAGAACAGGCACAGATCCATCAATATTCTTGGCTCTACGATGCTGCAGCAAACCTGTATTCATCGAGGGATACTGCCAGGGCCAGGGGAGGCAACACAGCCCACAGGGGTTACAGACAGACTTCAAAGCTGGACTGCCTGGGTGTGAACCCTGGATCTGCTTCTCCGGGTTACTTGGGCCAAGTACTCAACTCAGTTTTCTCATCTGAAAAAGGGGGTCAATAATTCTTACAGTCCAGAGCTGCTAGAAGGATTCTCTGCAGTCAGTAGAGAAAGCTCTTCAGGGACTTCCCCGCTGGTCCAGTTGTAAAGAACCTGCCCTCTGATGCCAGGGTAGAGGGTTCCATCCCTGGTTGGGGAACTGCGACCCCAGACGCCTCGGGGTAACCAGGGAAGCCTGTGCACCACCACAAAGAGCCCGTGTGCTGCAGCGAAGCCCCAGTACAGCCACGGGCAGGGAAGGAAAAGCGCGCTCTCCAGAACGCCCGCTCACAGCAGGCCCATAGGCACACAAGCAGGTGTGCCCAGTGCCGGCAGGGGCGACGCCTGCCAAGCGTCCTCAGGAGGCGGGATCAGAGCGAGCCAAAAATCTCCCACTGGGGTGGACATGCGCTTTCACGCTCACCTGTCCTGCCTTTCCTGCCCACAAGCTCTGTGGGCGCAGAGATTGTGACCGAGTGACTCAGGAAAGGTCACAGTGCCAGGGCAGGGCACACGCTTCATAAATACCTGCCGCTGTCAGAGCGTGTGTGTGTGGTGTGTGTTCTATGTGTGGTGTGTGTTTTATGTGGGGTGTGTGTGTGTGTGTGTGTGCGTGTCTGTGTGTGTGGTGGGGTCCTGCTGGCTGTGGGAGATGGTGAGGTCAGAGTGTGTGGTGTGTTTTATGTGTGGTGTGTGTGTGTGGTGAGGTCAGAGCGTGTGTGTGTGTTGTGTGTTTTATGTGTGGGGTGTGTGTGTGTGTGTGTGTGTGTGTTGGGATCCTGCTGGCTGTGGGAGATGGTGAGGGACCGAATGTGTGTGTGTGTGTGTGTGTGTGTGTGTGTGTGTGTGTGTGTGTTGGGGTCCTGCTGGCTGTGGGAGATGGTGAGGGACCGAAAAGTTGCGATGGGATAGGACGGACCTGCACAATCCTCCGGCAGCTCCGAGTCCGGCTCAGAAGTCCTAAGTGCCCATGAGCCTGGTGATGATCAGGAAGTCCATAAAATCATGCAGGCGGTAACGAGACGCTCCTCTGGCTTCTCCAGTTTTGGGGAGATGCCCGCGGAGTAAGACATGCAGGAGAATTAGGGACACAGAGAAGCCACCTTCTCCCACCCACTGCCCCACCAAGGAAGCCCAAGGCTAAGACCTGAGGCGCATGCAAGGCAAACGATGCCACTTGGGATCAAATTCTCCCTCCTGCCCAAGGTCTCTGTGGTCCTCAGAACAGCCATCCCTACCCTTTAAGGTCCACACACACAGACACTTCTGCCTGCTCCTCAAACACATCAAGCTCATTCTGATCTCAGGACCTTTGCACTTGTTGTTCCTCTGCATGTTCTTCCTCTGGTTCCTCCTGTCGTGGGCTCACTCTCATCATTCAGGTCTCAAAGCAACCATCACTCCTCTAAGGCGCTCCCTGACCACCCCAGCTCACTAAATTGCACCTGCCTGGCCCTCGTCATCCCATTATCCTCAGGTAATCACCAGCTGAAATCATCAACTTTGGGCATTCCGGGCAGTTTGCTGGTTAAGACTCCACAGTTCCACTGCAGGGGGTGTGAGTTCGACCCCTGGTGGAGTAAGTTCTGCATGTCACTGGGTGCGGCCAAAAAAAAAACAACTTAGGAAAATTTTCAACTTTATTCATTTACTATCTTCCCCTCAATAATATCCAGTAAGCAGTCAACCCTGCAAAGGCAAAGATGATGTCTGTTTTGTTCACCATGATGCCTAACACAGCACCTGGCACACAGTAGGTATTTGATGAAACAGGCAAAATGCATGATGCAAAGCACGTCAGCATTCACGATGCTCGTGTTTCTCATTTAGCTCTCCCCAGAATTCTGGAAGGTCAACGGGAGCGGGAAGAAACCAAGGCTCCATGACATGACCTGCTACGGGGTTATGTAAGCTCTGGGTTAGGAAAAGGTGGACCCCAGGTTCCGAGCCTGGCCTGATGACTGGAAAGCTGTGTTCCTCCCGCCACCCCATGATTCCTGAGCTCAGCAATATGCAGGCCTCCCTGGTGCCAGGCCCCAGGCTGGTGCAGTGGGGGGGACACAGCGTAGGCAGGGGACAGGAGGGCACAGCGTTTGAGAAGACAGAGCTCTGCCCTGAATTCTAGCTGAACGGGCTTACAGCTCAGTATCAAAGTATGTGTGTTCGCTTTAAAAATAAAACCGCATTGCAACCTGAGAGAAGACATCACTGTCCTTGCTTAAAAAAAAGAAAAAAAAAAAAAACCCATATGCATTTACCATTTTTTTATTTATCCAAAAGAAGCTTCCATCCGGCCTCTGGCCCCAGGGACTGTTTTTTAGTACATCTGAGAACAATTTAGACAGAGCGACATCAAGCCTCCTAAACACTGCTGTGATTTTTCTCCAAAGTCAGGCTTGAGCCAATAGAGACTGACTTTTTATTTTTTTCTAAACAGAGTCAGCCACCCTCAAGCTCAGCTCAGCGTCTGCTCAGTGCTGGAACCACACCACAGCCCCCACCCTTGTTTGTGGCTGGCAAATAAACAAGCAAAAGGGCTGCAAACAGCCTGGTTGGTATTCAAAGTCCTAAAGTGAAGGGTGGGAAACATGTCTAAGGGGAATCTTGAACCAGCCTCACTGGTGAGGAAACAGGTGAAAGAAAATGCTACAAGACCCTTGAGGAAAGGCAAGAAGGAAAGGAACAATTATCGTGGTCCTACTGTGCGCTAGGCCTCGGACTTTCCACTTTAACTGCATCATCCAGTTTAGTCCCTACAGTTCTATGAGGAGAGAAAGCAAGGCTCTGCCATTAAACCACCTGCTCAACAGAGCCTGAAGAGGTCAGAGCTGGAATGTGAACCTGGGGCGGCCGCCCCATGGCCTGGGGTTTGCCTCCTTTTCCTCACTCATCTGTGGTTACCATGAGGACCATTCACCGAGGGATTAGCACAGAAGGGTCCTCTGCTAAGTGCCCCATGAAAATCAGCGAAATCCACTCGACAACCCCAAGGCTAAACAAGAGAAAACTGAGGCTCAGAGGGGCCAACTAGAGGAGGGAATGGCAACCCCCTCCAGTGTTCTTGCCTGGAGAATCCCACGGCCAGAGGAGCCTGGCGGGCCACAGGCCATGGGCCCGCAAAGAATCTGACACAACTGAGCGACTCAGCGTGCGTGTGCAGAGGGGCCAAGTCGCTCGCCCTAAGCCACGAGGATAGGGAGAAGGGGCTCAGGGACCTGAACCCGGGTCTGATGCCAAAACCCTGACTCAAGCTCTGAGCCACGCTGCTTTCAGGCACAGCCGTCTGGCTGCAGGACAGCTCTTCTCAGAAGGGCTCCACTAAGGCAGACGCCCTATGGCAGGGCCAGTGGAGCTGAGTTCTAAAAATTTTGGTGGCAGCAAGACTCCCATCTTCTCACACGGAGCGGGACTGGAAGAGCACAGATCTCTCTATGACGTAAGCTCGAGGGCTGAGAGGGGAGGCTGACCAGCGCCCGGCCAGTGGTAAAGTAGCTGACATCATCCCTCCTGAATTCATTTTCTGAGAATACAGGCTGCATTGTAGCTGGTCATAGCTGGTGTCTCTTCTGAGCACAGAGCCAGCAATTTATTCCTAGCACTCTGCAAGAACAACAAAAAACACGCTCTCTGCAAAAACAGCGTGGTTACAGGATACCAAGACAGCGCAGTGACAGAAGCCGTTAATTTCTCCAAGCAACCCAAGGACTGGAATGCCAAGACATACCAGGCTGGCGGAAGAATAAAAAAAAAAAAAGCATGGTACCATGAACATCCCTAACAGAATCAGGTGGGTGTCCAGAGCCAAGAGACCTGGTCAGCACCTTCCTGCACCCACAATCTGGGTCCCCCTTTGAAAAGCAAAGCAATGAAGAGAGAGAGATTGCAGTCGGGAGCGGGGGGTGGTGGCATTCTAATTATTTTTTAAACATCTCAGAGGAAAGCTGGATCTGTTTAAAACCTCACTGAACGGAACTGAAATGATTCTGGATAGCAAAGCATGAGCTTGGCTTTACCTCAGCTGGCCCATTCAAGCAGAAACATTCCCCAAGCAGCATCTGAAGGCTGCCTCCTCCCTGCACAGGCAGAAGCTATTTTTGGGCCCAGCACTGCCCCAGTCCACAGGTTTACAGATCCCTGGTGTAGCTTCAGGCCGCTCAAGAGTTCCCTGGGCCTCCAAACAGCAGCAAGGGGAGTGCCCATCAACCCCCTTCACCTCCGCACCCCACTCCTTGGCACTCATCCCCAGGCCCCTGAGACACATCCTAGGCAACCTTCCACTGGCAGTGAAAAGACCAGAGGGTCCCCACACCCCAACCCCATCCCAGAGAGATTCAGAGAGAGGGCTTCTGACCTCTGAAAATAGCCTCAGCCGATGCTGAAATTGGGCTTCCCCAGTGGCAGCTGCCGCTGGCAGAGGGGCTCTGGAGCAAGCAGGCTCCCCTCCCTGCATCACACAGAAGCTGGAGACTGCTATTCCCAGTCTGGTAATTCCTACAGCCTCCAAGTGTCACATCAGTTGTGAAAAACACCCTAGTCCCAATCTCGAGCCCTCCCCAGGGACTGTTGCCGAATAGAGAGCAGCTGTCATTTATTGGCGGGGGTGCTCCCCTGGTGGCTCAGAGGGTAAAGCATTCACCTGCAACGCAGGAGACCCGGCTTCCATCCCTGAGTGGGCATGGCAACCCACTCCAGTATCCTTGCCTGGAGAATCCTATGGACAGAGGAGCCTGGCGGGGCTACAGTCCTGTGGGGTCGCAAAGAGTCGGACACGACTGAAGCGACTGAGCACGCACGCATCATTTACTGGACGCCTGCTGTTTGCCAGAGGCTGTGCTTCGTATGCATCTCCCTTCATCCCCACCCCGGCCCCGAGCAGACAGGTTCACTCCCCATTGAACTAACCAGCCAACTGAGACTCAGACGATGGAGTGACTTGTCCAAGGTCACACAGTGAGTTCAAACCCCGGTCTGCCACCCGAGCCTGGGCTGAGGACCAACTGCGCGGTAACTGCCTCCGGCTGGAATCGGGGTGTCTTGTTGCCGCGACAGTTGCCGAACATGGGGTGCTCCTCCTGAGCTGCCCCGAGCCTCCCACCGCCGGTCCCCAAGAGGCTGCGAGGCAGCCCTCGGGGGAGCGGGGATCCTGAGGAGCAGCCGGGCCCCCGGAGTGCCGGAAAGGCGGGCCCGCCCATCGCCCCCTCGCCGGCTGCGAAGGGACCTCGCTCCCGGGCCGGTCGAGCCCCGCCGAATCGGGCGCCCCCTCCGCCCAGGGAAGCCCCAGACGCCGTTTCCGCCCGCGGCCGAACCGTCCTTACCCCGGCACCGCCGCCGAGGACGCCCCGGCCGAGGTGAGCAGGAAGCAGCCGCGGCCGCCGCCGGAGCCGGGCCCGGCTGGGCACTCGGAGCTCCGGCCGGCTGCGGGAGACCGAGACCAGTACCCTGGGGCCGCGGCGACCCGGAAGCACTCAGTCCGGAAGTGACGTTGGAGGCGGGCCCAAGGGGAGGCCGGGCCGCGGCTGCGCGCTGGGCCGGGGAGAGGTCGACGCTCGCCGGAGGCGGAGAAGAAGCCTGAGGCAGAAGGGTGAGCAGAGAAGCGGCGGTGTCCCGCTTCGGGGCCTAAAGGGCCGCCGACACGGGTCTGGGGCTGGGACCCGGAAATAAACGGGCCGGAAGTGACGCACGCCGTCGGTCCCAGGATGGCGGTTCGCCGGGTTGTCATGGGAACCTGGCCGGAGCCCGGAGGTGGTAACTTGGAGCTGTGAGCTCAGATGGAGAGATTCGCGGCCTCCACCTCCCGGTCTTCCCCATTATCCATGCGATCTGCGAGCTGAGCTCCTGACCGCGCTTGAGTAGAAGCTGACAGTTGGATCCCTCACCCTCATTTTACAGGTGGAAATACCAAGGCTTAAAAAAAGCAAACGAGATGCCCAGTGTCATGTGAGACTGAATCCAGCCTTGAGGGGATTGGCGATGTTACAGGCTGTATCTAAGAGCGAGGGTTCCAGTTTTGCCTTTACCACATACTAGCAACATAACCTTGGACTAGTTACTTCTCTGAGCCTCAGCTTTTTCACCTATAAATGCAATAATAATATATCGCCTCCTGGAATTCAAGTGAGTATGGAAGTCACTTACTAAAGTTATTAAAGTAGTTGCATTCAGTTCAGTTCAGTTGCTCAGTCGTGTCCGACTCTTTGCGACCCCATGGACTGCAGCACGCCAGGCCTCCCTGTCCTTCACCAACTCCCGGGAGTTTCCCCCAAATCATGTCCATTGAGTCGGTGATGTCATCTAACCATCTCATCCTCTGTCGTCTCCTTCTCCCACCTTCAATCTTTCCCAGCATCAGGGGCTTTGCCAATGAGTCAGTTCTTCGCATCAGGTGGCCAGAGTATTGCAGCTTCAGCTTCAGCATCAGTCCTTCCAGTGAATATTCAGGTCTGGTTTCCTTTAGGATGGACTGGTTGGATCTCCTTGCCAGTCCAAGGGACTCTCAAGAGTCTTCTCCAACACCACAGTAGTTGCATTAGTGTAATAATCTAAATACACTGTTTGAACAATCTGGTTAAGTTGGTAATTCCCTGATGGTCCAGTGTTTAGGTCTCCGTGCTTTCACTGCTGAGGGACTGCCTTCAATCCCTGGTAGGAACTTAAGATCCTGCAAGCTGCATGGCACGGCCAAAAAATAAATAAATAATAAAGTAGAAAATAAAATCTGCGTAAGTCAAAGGAAATGACTTTTCTCAGCCCTCAACTTCCCTGAATGGAAACCAGCATTGAGGAAGACCAAGCCAAATACTGTCTCCTTGGTTTGTCACTTCGCCAGACACCTACATGTAGACTACACTGGCATCAATTCTGGGGGCTTGTCACACTTCACTTCATGGATTTGTTTTCCACCCATCACACTGATGGTTTTCCCAGAGTAAAGAACCCACCTACCAGTGCAGTGAGACTTAGGAGACTCAGATTTGATCCCTGTTTCAGGAAGATCCCTTGGAAGAGGAAATGGCATCCACTCTGTTCTTGCCCGGAGAATCCCATGGACGGAGGAGCCTGGTGGGCTACAACCCATAGAGTTGCAAGGAGTCAGACAATTGAAGCTACTTAGCATACACACACACATACCATGTTAGCTGTGAATTTTGCTTTGGTGGTTCATCACTCACTGAACCCTTAGTGCTTGCAAAGTGCTCAGCACATACTCAAGACTTTGTTGAACACATTTAGCACTGAACTCATTCTGTCTCTCTAACTCACCCCAGATATTTATTGAAGACTCGGGGCCCACAACATGCCAAGTTCTCTTTCTCCAACATGGTCTTGGCTCTCTGTACCTACCATATTCTTCTACCACTGTGGCCTCTGTCCCTGTATATGCCGTTCACGGGGTATGAATGTTCTTACTTTCTTTTCTTCCCTTCCTTGTTTTCTTGACTTCCAGCCCCAACTGAGTCCTCATATCCTTTCTGAAGCTTTCTCTGATTTCTGCAGGCAAAGACCCACCTTCCCTTGGTTTCCCACCCCAAAACATCATCATCCATAATTGAAAAAAAAAGTTTAAAAAACATTTTTGGCCATGACATGTGCCGCATGGAATCTTAGTTCCCCAACCAGGGATAGAACCCTTGCCCCCTACATTGGAAGTACAGGGTCTTAGCCACTGGATTGCCAGAGAAGTCCCCTGTCTTTCATAATATATGTGTTTCCCATGAGCTCTGTACGTGTCTGATCAGGAGCTGTCCAACAGGTGTTGCTTGAGTGCAGGATTCTCTCTCTAGGCCTTGGTGTCCCCGGCTAAAGTCGGTGGGTCTTTTCTCAGGAGTCAGTGAGATGGTGCCTGGAGAGCATTTGGAGAACCAACAACCTGCTATTCAAAGAGTAGCGATGACTGTATTTATCTGTTGCTGTCTGAGCATCGCTTTAGATCTTTGTGTACTTCTGTTACCAGCTCATGTTTAAGCTCCTGTCTTAATCACTCCTAAGGTGATGGTGTTTACAGGAATTCCAGCTGAGAAAAACTGTCCCACCCAAACTCTTGCCTTTGCAACAACTCAAAACTGTACTTTGGAAACCATTACAAGATTGCATGAGGCTGGTAACAGGTCCTTCCAGCTCTGTGGTTTGGGGACAGCTAAAAAGAAAACAAAAGTTTTAAGAAGCTTTCCTGGTAGGAAACCCTGGTCACTGATTCTCGGTGACATTCTGTAGCAGAAAAATACCAAAATCTCTGAAGGGAGACATATTTCTCATCTTGAAAACAGGGCTGGAGGCCTGAGATTTCTCTGCTTGGTGACGTGTAATCGCAGGAGCATCCTTTGCAGATTTTATTACATAATGGTTAGTGGATTATGTAACAGTCATGTGACAGTGATCAGGCACCTCTATTTTCTAAAAGCCAGCAACATGAACCATCTACCTACTTCTTTCTATTTTTTAGCGTATTTTTTTTAATCACAAAAGCGCTGTATGAATTCTAATGACATAGGCATGTGTAGAACAAAAAATGAAAAAGAAAAGCAAGCCTATGACCCACCAATTTGATTTCTTGGAATCTACCAGAGAAAAAGCAGAAGTATACAAAAAGACCTGTTGCATTATTGTTTGTAATGCAAAAACAAAACCCAGAAACATTCTAAATGCCCATCTGGTGTAGATGATGTAACTCTACATAACTTTGCAAGATATATTTTGGAAGGAAAAAAGAGAGCAATACCCTGAAATGGGAAACATAACATCAACCAATACTATATATTTTCTAAGGGTGCGTATGTATGAAGCCAACTGGGGACAATAATGCAAACAGAGATCATGTTTTTCAAATCAGTCTACAAATACAAAATATATGTTTTTTATTAATAGCTTTCTCCTAGAAGTCAGTTAACTCTCTGAGGACAAAACTACTATGTCTGTTTTGCTTACAATTATATTACTACTCCATGCCATGCTACACTACGCTGCACCCATCAGAGAGTTCAACAGCAGTTGTTTTTAACTGAAATTTTCATCTACTGCCTACAATGTGCCAGGACTGATGTTAGATTTAAGGACATAGACAGACCCAAGAAAGACAGATACAGTGCTTGCCCTCAAAGAGTGTACAGTCTTCTTAACAGAAAGAGAAGATTAATAAGTTTGGAGTAGGCTGAACTATGGAGAAGGCAATGGCACCCCACTCCAGCACTCTTGCCTGGAAAATCCCATGAACGGAGGAGCCTGGTAGGCTGCTGTCCATGGGGTCGCACAGAGTTGGACATGACTGAAGCGACTTAGCAGCTACAGCAGCAGGCTGAACTAAAAACCAGTGGCTCAGGAGAGAAGGTGATGAATGTTGTGAGAAGGACAAAGAGTTTAGAGAATGGAGAAGTGACATCTGAGACGGCACTCTGGGGACAGCCCCAAGGAGGAGGTGGCATTTGCATGGGCTTTGGATATGTAAGGGTATCCAGCTTTCCTTCCAGCTGGAGGGAAGAAAGCAGTCAAAAGTGAGGAATGGAAACTGAAACTCCGCTGCCTACAAGTATATACAGTGGGTGTAACTAGCTACTAGAGTACTATCGTCTCATACAGTGTAGTGCCAGAAATTAGTAGAACTGTAATACAACCTGGTACCTGGCCTGCAGTAGGCATGCAATAAATACTTCAGTGAGAAAACAAATGTT